ATGATACCAAGGCCAAGAAATGAGTCCCACCAGGAAGCCCGTGTCCTTCCGGGTAACTCCCAGTTACCCCCCACCCCGGCCATGACGTGCTGTGGTATGGAATACCTCATTGGCTAGCCTGGGTCAGGTGCCCCGTCTCTGCTTCCTCACAGCTTCCCCTCCTCCCTGGCAGAGCATGAGACTCACAAAGTCCTTGGTCAGGATCACTTAGCAACAACCGAAAACATCGGTATCACCAGCACTGTTCTCAGGCTGGAAGTTAAAACGCAGCACTGCACCAGCTACCACAAAGGAGAAACATGACTGCTACTGCTGAACCCAGGACAAGGACACATCACCCAAACTACCCAAAGGGGTATTCCATACCACAGAACGTCATGCCCAGGATGTAAAACTGGGGGCAGTTACCTGGAAGGGCGAGTGCACTGCTGGGGGCTGGGTACTGTCGGTCAGTGGGTGGTGAGGTGTTGTATTCTCTTCACTTGTTATTTCCTTTATCATTATTATTATTATTACTGGTAGTCGCAGTAGTGTTTTTTGTTATACCTTAGTTACTGGACTGCTCCTGTCTCAACCCGTGGGATGGGAGTTACATTCTTTCAATTCTTCTTCCCATCCCTCCAGGAGCAGGGGAAAGAAAGGGGGGGGAGGGGGGGTGTAGACAGCATGGTTCTGATTTATGGCCTGAGCTTAAACCACAACAAACTGTTACATGGTAGGTATGCAAGTTATCTCTTCCTTATCACGTCAAGGGCAGTGCTCAAGGCACAGCCAGCCATAGAGTCACAAAGGAGTTAATAATACTTAAAGAGGAACTATGATACCAGAGGTATTCCAAGAGCAAAAGGGAACTTTCTTGTCTCCTCCTTTTCTGTTCATTCAGTAAACCCTATTTCATTTGTCCTAATAACAACAAACGCAGGCAATGCTGTGGGCCAGAAAATGTTCATGTCCTTATAACTGTAAAAAGGAGTTTCCTGCATCTAGCCTTGCACTGCTCAGCATAGCCTGGGTTGTTAGGTCTGCTTCTGCAGCAGTGTACATTGGCTGTAGCATTTTCAATGAAGGAAAGTAATGCTACAGGGATATAACAGTCCTTGGTATAATCTGAAGACATACGCATTATGGATCTATCACCATCTACATCCCAAAGGCAGGATTACCGATAAGGCTGCAGATATCTCGGGTTCCTTTACACCCCTCTTAAAATATCCTGGGTAGACTGCCTGGACGTATGCTCTGGGCAGATTTTGGTGACTGTCTTCAAAATTTTAAGTGCTTAAAGTACTCTGAGGGCAGGTCCAAATCTAAAGACAGGCTTAGTTTGGCAGCACTGTACTTTGGGGGCTGAAAGAATGTCAGCGTCGACACTGCATACTGTTAGAAAGTCACTGTAGTCATCACATGTCTTTGCCATGTCTTCTGCAGCCTGCTGTGTAGGGACCATGAGTCCTATCCACCTGCATAGTAGACAGTGTTGTACCGTGCCGTGCTGCTGCACAGATATACAGAGATGTAATAGCGTGCATTACCAGTATTACTGAGATATAGTTAAATGCTGCTTCCTGAAACATATGTATCTGAAGTGTTGCACATGAGGTGCCCAGTGGGTGTTTACTAGATGATCACGAAAGCCAGTGTCTTACCAGAGATTCAAAACTGCAGAAAAACCTTGAATCTGACCGTCCATGATGTGAACTCTATTTGTTCAAGAGGAGCCAAGCAATTAAGAGGTGCAAAGTGTAGGGGGAGCTATTTCTTCATAGGTAGCCATGTGAGTGCACTTGATGCTGAAGTTTCGGGACATCAGGGACATTGGGGAATTTGTGGGGAGGATAAGTCATGGGCATTTGCCATGTAAGAAAATAAAAACTCACTCCTAAGAACACATCGTTTGTTCCAAAAGTGCATGGAAGAAGGTTTTTCTCTTCTGTGCAGCAGCTTATGCACTCTCAGATCCAGAGCGTATCACACATGCTTTTGGGGCCATGCATGGCAGGAATATTCCTGACTGGAGGGAGGTTTCTGAAAGCTGCTGTGTTGATTGTCATTGCAGTGTTTTCTGAAGGACTAGTGACTTGTTACATGATTTACTAGGGTACTATTCAAGCGTAATTTGTCTTTGTTGCTCCTTTGGCGTAGTGTAAAGCTTTTGGTTGTAAAGAGGACTGGTCATCTAGTACCAATTCATTTTTTCCAGGGTAAGCAGCACATTGTAGATCTGCTTCTAAGATATGACACATATCTAATCCCTCTTCCATTTGCCAAGGGTATGGCATGTGGTGGAGGAGGGGTGGAGAGTTATAAAGTGTGCTATAGTAGTACTAGAGGCCAAGTCAGCCACAAAAAGAAAAAAAAAAGCGACCACCATCTATGGTGAATGGTTTCTTGAGCAGAATCCCTTCAAATAATTCATAGGATTTGTCTTGGAGAAAGCTGTTGAAGAACTCTTAGATAAAGCTATGTTGTGTAGACAACCAAAAATTCAGTCCTAGAATTCACCCACTGGAATTGTTTAGCACTATATATACGTATATTCTATTTGAAGTTTTAAAGTTGTACTTGTTAAAACTTAATAGGCTTAAATGATATGACTGTCTCTTTTACCACCTCTCTTTGCTTTCAAGAGATTATTTGCTACTGAATACTTCTAATGACAAATCTGGTAGCCATTCTTACTTAGCACATTCTGGTGGCATCAAATCCCTGTGGTATAAAAACAATGCACAATTTGTGTACATCCTTGAGGCTTAGACATATGGTAGCAAGTGAGTGGCTCATCACTGTCAAGCCTGGTATTTTTGTGAGTATGCCCAGCAGGAGAATTGTAAGTGTCTCAGAAAGTTAGCATAAAAACCCTGAGGCGTCTGTGAACTTCAGGACCCTCAAGCATTTGGGCATGAAAAGAATCCAAACCAGCTGTAATGCAAGATTTTGATCCTAAATTTAGATCCTTGCTCATGAAATCCCTAAGATGATTTGAGATTGCTAATGAATTGAAAGATGGTAATAGAACCAAAATCAGGCATAATGGAATACAAGTCTTATTACACAGATTTCATATTATTCATTGAAGTGGAATGTTTGAATGAAGACAGTCATATTGGTGAAATACTCTTATACTTTTGTTAACTATTTGGCTTATCAGTGCAGCCTCTATTGGAGGGAGTACTACAAAGCACTTTAACTGACAGATTACATCTAATTTATTATTTCAGTGGAATTTCACTTGGAAATACATTGTTTGTACTTGATGTCTTCCTTGGTGATCTAGGAGAAAATAGGGGATTATGGCTTCTAAACATGATGGAACCATAACTGAGAGATCAGTTTCCAAGGTAGCTCAAAATATTTAATTGGATAGGCTCACATCAAAAGAGTTTAAACACTTGGGAAGACCTAAATACAGTTTCAGACTTGTAGGCATAAATAGTTACCAGCTTTGTTGTCATGAAAAACAAAGGAGTTGAATCAAGAGGAATATCAAGTCAGAGCAGTAGAATTGTGCTACCTATATATAAGTATGAGTCAGACAGTTGCTGCAACACTGTTACCAGAACCACTCTGCAGACCAGAGGCTGAATACTACAGTAAAAATGCAAAGTCAGGGAAACTTGTTTAAAAATGAGAGAATAAAAGAGCCCAGCTGCTTTTTTTTTTTTTTCACCCGGTAATATCACTATCACATCTATTTTGATTATGGTCCCCAGAGATATTACTGAGAAAATGTTTCTGATGGTGGACAACTCTTTAATCTAGAGAAAAGGCTCAGTGATATCAACAGGTTGGAAAAAATGGAAGTAAAATACCATTTAAATAGATATAAAGTGGAGATATTTGGGACACAGGACAATTAACCACTGGATCAATTGCCCTAGAACACACTATAGATGTTTTTTTAAAGACTATTTCACAAACTACAGCTTAAAACAATTATAAGCTTCATATAGAAACCGCTTGATAAGCTGCTGCAGCATGTAATGGGCAATTAAGCTGACTATATGATCCTAAAGGTACGATTTGGTTGTAAAAACTGTGAAAGTGTCTTTTGAAGTTCCTTACTTGAATCCAATGGTCAGTTTTTATGTCATTTGTTTCGGTCAATGAAGGTGGAAAATTCAAGGAAAAACAACAACGACAAAAAAATGCTCCAGCAGCTGAGATACTCATACAGCATGCTCTCTGTACTCCCTAGAGTATATTTTATTTGTTTTCAAAAGGCAACATACAGGAACTCAGACCATTCTTACTTGCAGTTAGAAGATTTTTCTTGAAATAAGCTGTTTGTTGAAACAAATTGGGGAAAAAAAGAAAGTTAAAGTCTCACGTGGTTCAAAGATGTGGTAGAGTAGTTTAAGGTGGGAGGAAACAATTTATGTTGTCCGTTACAGCACCAAGTGTGGCCAGTTTAGATCAACTTTCTGAAGACCATGTTCAGTTGAGTTCTGAATGTCTTCAATGATGGAGATTCCAAAACATCTGGTCAACCTTATGAGGTATTTGAACAATCACTTTATGAAAACTTTTTCTTAGTATCTCATCAGAATTTTACATGTTGGGGTAGCTGGCTTCTCCACAGTCTCCTTGTTCTCTATTTTATACTAGAGGTTGATCCAAGGATAGCTAATATCGCTCCATCTCTCTGTGAGCCCATTTTCTCAATCCTATAATAATTCATACCTCTGCTGAATCAGAGGGTTTACAACTGTTGAAACAGAACACACTTGATTTTTCCCTCTATCTTTTTATTAATCTTCTCATTTATATTAATAATGGTGTTAAAGCAGTTCAGAGTTATTGAAGCTGATAGTTTCTGCCACTTGGATCATGTCAAAATTGGGTTGGTCTCATGAATAGAAATATTGCTCCATGTGTTTCAGTATTAGGTTTTATCCAGTTTATATTTAAGCATGAAAACTTCTGTTAGGTAGCTAAGTATCTTCTTTCTGAGCAGATAAGTTGTCCTGGGTTCTGCTGTAACAGTTATTTTTCTCCTTATTAGTAGCTGGTGCAGCGCTGTGTTTTGGCTTTAGTCTAAGAAAAATGTTGATAACACACAGATGTTTTTATTTGTTGCTAAGTAATGCTTACTCCAACCAAGGACTTTTCAGTCTCATGGTCTACCAGTGAGGAGGGGCATGGGAAGCCACGAGGAAGCAGAGACTGGACACATGACCCAAACTAGCCAAAGGGGTATTCCATACCACAGCACGTCATGCCCAGTATATAAACTAGGGGAGGTACCTGGAAGGCCCAGATCACTGGTTGGGTTGGGGTGGGTATCGATCGGCCAGTAGTGAGCATTTGCATTGTGCATCACTTGAGTCTATTGTGTTTTTTATTCCTTTTACTCTTTTGGTTTTATATTCTCTCCCCTTGTTATTTCCTTTATCATTATTATTATTAGTGGTAATAGTAGTACTTTTGTATTACACCTTAGTTATAGGACTGTTCTTATCTCAGCTCGTGGGATTTACATTCTTTTGATTCTCCTACCTATCAGTCCAGGAACAGAGGGGGAAGAAGAGAGGGAAGTGAGAGAGCGGCTGCATGGTTCTGAGTTACTGGCTGGGCTCAAACCACAATATAAGTGATTTTAGAGGGTTGTAGATGTTTAGAACACATTAATTTTTTTAAACTGTGCTTATCTGTATGCAGAGTGAATATAAAATGCAAGCTATTTTCTGAGGTTCAAATAGGAGTTCTCTATAAATAATATAACAGATTCTTCTTAACTTTCTGGTGGTGATTTCATGGCTTTACAAGCACAGACACCAAAGTTATAGAATTATAGAATAGTTTGGGTTGGAAGGGGTATACACAAAGCTAACCTTTATTGCAGACTAAGTATATAGATATATCTATATCCAAATATGGATTGCAAATGAACTTAAGGGATTGCTCATTAGAGCAGTGGTCAGAAACACTAATCGTAGAATCATAGAATAGTTAGGGTTGGAAAGGACCTTAAGATCATCTAGTTCCAACCCCTGTGTCATGGGCAGGGACACCACACGCTAGACCATTTCGTCCAAGGCTCTGTCCAACCTGGCCTTGAACGCTGCTCGGGATGGAGCATTTATCACTGTAGTCAACCTGCTCCAGTGCCTCACCATCCTCACAATAAAGAACTTCTTCCTTATATCTAATCCTAGTGAAGCCATGTGAGCTGTCACCAATCACCTCCTTGTTTTCCATCTACTTTATTATAGAGACTATGGTCTTTAAGTGATACTCGGACATAGCATTGGAGTCATAGTGGGTGAAGAGTTACTTTTTCTCTTCAAATAATACTGCTAATACACATTCACTAAAGCATTCAGAAATAAAGTGAAAAGGTCTTGTTTATGTACAGAAGTTGTATTCTGGTATCTTTTACAAAATTGACATTAAAGAATTTGGTCTGATGTTAAATCATGCATCCATGCAGAACTTACTGTACTCTGATCTATTTTTGTAGTTATGTACTTCATAAAAGTAAGGGCAAGAGAATATTTTAAATTCATTGGTACCTATTCCAAAAGGCTGATACCTAAGCAACTGCATTTCTTCCACCCTGGAGTAAGACTTGCAGTGTTTGCAAATTGACTGACTATGATTTGATAATATACAAATATGACAGATTGAAAAAAAAAAATCTGGAAGAAAACCCATAGGTGTATTGGAAGAAAATAGATTTTATTCTCTTGCACACTGCTCCACACTATGAAGTATTAATATTCTTGTGTTGTTTCTTTTTTTTTAATAATTCCTTTTATGTTATTTTGTTTCCTCTATTATTCTCTTAACAAAAGGTGTCCGTAAGTTTGTCCACTGATCATTCTGAGTGTCTGGTTTCACATTTCATTACTGTTCTCGATTCTCTCTGCAGGCATCTTCAAGGCATGTCACACTTTTTTCTTCTCTTGTGAAACTGTAGTAGAAGTGAAAAAGAGAGTAAATTATGCTTGTTATGTATTACTGAGTTTTGTACTATTTTTTAAACAAAAATAAATTGAAAAATGAAATTGCACTTTTATATTATAAAAATGATGGTATATTAATTTTCAAGGTCTGACTGTTAATAACTTACCGAACATTTGCTAAGATGTCTAGGAATCTTCCTAGTAACTTAGTAATCATGATATCTTAGTCTGTGGTTAACAAAAAAAATATGTCTACGGGTAAAAAAATGCATTTGTTCCAGCTATTTGCATATTTAAGGACAAAAGCCAGCTTGAAATTATATTTTGATGTTTTGTCTACCTATGTGAATTGCACAGACTGCAACTTTAATGTTAATGAACCACATGGGGTATTTAGAAACCGATTGTCCATAAAAACTTTAATGTATTGTACATACAACCATACAGTTCCTCCTAATATATTTATTTTTTGTTCTCTCAAGTGAGGTATTTCTGCATTAAGCAGACTCTAAATCAGGTGTGTATAAACATAACTGAAAAAAGAGGCATTTTCAAGTAAAGGAATAAAATAGAGGCAATGTTTTCAGGTGTTAAAATATGCAGAAATTAATTCATAGAATCATGGAATAGTTTAGGTTGGAAAGGACCTTAAGATCATCTAGTTCCAACCCTCCCTGTCTTTGGCAGGGATGCTTCATACTAGACCACTGAACACTGCCAGGAATTGAGCATTTACCACTATTTCGGGCAACTTGGGGGCAAACATTGAAAATTTCCAACACTGAAACAGGAGATCCCAAGATACCTACAAGAAAGCTGTGATGTTTATAGTGCTTTGTAGCTTCACATATAAATTTACGTTTTCTAAACTTTCTAATTTGCACCTGCAAGACTGACAAGAACAGAAGTTGATCTCGGTATTCAGATTTGTGTAATGACTGCTTATTTTGCCTAAAGCATGAGTCACTGCAGCTTGGGCTGAAGAAAAAACTGCTAAATCGACAGCAGTCCTACTATCCAGTGGAGGAGGTGGGAAATTAAAACGCTAATAAATGAGTTACATCTGTGCATAAACAGAAGGACAGACTTGTAGGTATTTAATAGGTAATCACACAATAAGTGCCCATTTTGGTGTGCCATTATTTTTTCAATTATTATTATTGTAGTATCCCTTATGCAAACACAAGACTTTCAAATTTCAATTTAGGCAGAATTAAGATTATTTCCTTTTAATGGCTTTATTTTTTCTTTATTTTATTTACCTAAGGGAAACATGGCATAATGTGGCCAAGAAGCCACAACTGTTTTGAAAGAAAGGAGACTTTATTATATTATTATCTGAAATGGAAGCTCATGACAGTTGTCTGAGTGAGAAAAAGTATTATTGTCTGCATTTTATATTTGATGAGTGAAGTACAGAGAGATAAAACTATCTGGCAGTGGTTCTGAATAGCAATAGCATTCTGAACTAAAATCTGATCTGCAGTACAAAGTCATCTTCTGTTTTGAAGAAACACCTTACATAAAATGTTTTTACAACTTAAAGATTAGCTGCTACTTTTAGGAGCAGAGACAAAGATGAAGAGTGAAGTGGTCTTTAGAGAATTTCAAAGAGGAAACAAAAAGTTGATAAATTAAATTGAGAACAATATATTTTCGGAATCCATTGTAATTTTAATTTTAATTCTGAGTTTGTGACAAGAGCATTAGTAAAGTTTTAATGCAAATGTTGAATTATGAAATTGGTACTGAAATCACCCTTGGGTTTTCCTCTGGTTATTTGCTGTTAAACTGCAAAGACAAGCAGTTCAGATAGCAAGTCAGGGAGAGCAAGAAGAAGAAAAATACAGTTCCTTTGAATTTAAGCATGTATCACCGACTTCCTTCAACTTAGTCAGTACAAATATTCTCAGTCTACTGAAGAAGTTAAGAGGCCAGAAGCTGCTTACCTGTAGAAGGACTAGTCTTGGAAGGTAGACACAGGGACTGTGAGAATGAAGACCTTGGGCCCATTGTAGGAGAGGATCTGGTTCGAGACTACCTTAAAAATCCAAACATGCACAAGTCCATGGGTCCTGATGAAATCCATCCACAGGTCCTGAAGGAGCTGGCAAATGAAGTTGCTAAGCCGCTGGCCATCATGTTTGAAAAATCATGGCAGTCAGGTGAAGTTCCCAACGACTGGAAAAAGGGAAATATAACCCCCATTTTCAAGAAAGGGAAAATGGATGACCCGCGGAATTACAGACCAGTCAGTCTCACCTCTGTGCCTGGCAAAATCTTGGAGCAGATTCTCCTGGATGGCATGCTAAGGCACATGAAAATCAACAAGGTGCTTGGTGACAGCCAGCATGGCTTCACTAAGGGGGAATCCTGCTTGACCAGTTTAGTGGCCTTCTATGATGGGGCTACGGAACTGAAGGACAGGGGTAGAGCAGTTGATGTCATCTACCTGGACTTGCGTAAAGCATTCGACACTGTTCCACACGACATCCTTGTCTCTAAATTGGAGAGACACCAATTTGATGGATGGACCACTTGGTGGATAAAGAACTGGCTGGATGGCCACACACAAAGAGTTGTGGTCATTGGCTCAACTCAATGTCTGGCTGGAGACCAGTAACGAGTGGTGTCCTTCAGGGATCAGTGTTGGGACCGGTCTTGTTTAACATCTTTGTTGCTGACATGGACAGTGGGATTGAGTGCACCATCAGCAAGTTTGCCGATGACACCAAGCTGTGTGGTTCGGTTGATATGCTGGAGGGAATGAATGCCATCTAGAGGGACCTTGACATGCTTGTGAGGTGGGCTGATGCCAACCTCATGAAGTTTAACCATGGCAAGTGCAAGGTCCTACACCTGGGTCAGAGCAATCCCAGGCACAGCTACAGATTGGGCAGAGAAGAGATTCAGAGGAGCTCTGCGAAGAAAGATTTGGGGGTGCTGGTTGATAAGAAAATGAACATGGACCGGCTCCAGTGTGCGCTCGCAGCCTAGAAAGCCAACCGTATCCTGGACTGCATCAAAAGGAGCATGACCAGCAGGTTGAAGGAGGTGATCCTGCCCCTCTACTCTGCTCTTGTAAGACCTCACTTGGAGTATTGTGTGCAGTTGTGGTGTCCTCAACATAAAAAGGACATGGAACTGTTGGAACAAGTCCAGAGAAGGGCCATGAGGATGCTCAGGGGACTGGAGCACCTCCCATATGAAGATAGGCTGAG